TAACTGAAGCCTCTGAACCCATCCCCAAACCCATTTATAGCCTACCCTTTTAAGAGGTGATTATTACCATAAACTCGGTGCCCCCCATTCCTAAGTATGATATCATACCACTACTACACATATATTCATTAGTCAAAAATATGTGCTATTGTGTTGCATGTTCTCAAACTTTATTTAGATTGGATCACACTATACTTAATTCTGCAACTTGCTTTTTCCTCTCAACATTAAGTTTTTGAGATTTATCAATGGTGAAACACTTGGCGTTGTGAAGTTCATTTACTCTCACAAAAGAGGAAAACATTAAAAACTAAAAATACTTCTTTGTATGTAATATTTTATAAATTATAAGGGTCATTTGCAGTTAACCTTTCTGTCCTACCACTGTTGTTATTTTTGTCTACCACTGTTATTATTGAAATGAAAACTCAGAGCTAAAATAAACTCTAAAAAAAGGTAAAGGACACTTGAATATAAAAATAGGTAATGGGGCACCTGGGTGGCTCAATCAGTTAAGTGTCTGACTTTGGCTCAGGTCATGATCTCGCGGTTTGTGAGTTCAAGCCCTGCATCAGGCTCTGTGCTGACAGCTCACAGCCTGGAGACTGCTTCGAATTCTGTGTGTGTCTCTCTCTCTGCCCCTCCCGTGCTCATGCTCTGTCTTTCTCTGTCTCTCAAAAATAAATAAATGTTAAAAAAAATAAAAAATAAATAAAAATAGGCAATTATGGAAAATTTCCATACCTAAAGAGATGTAATGAAAGGCTTTTGACTGTATCTCCATAACTCTGCTTGTGTGTTATCACAATTTCTTGAAATTAACCACATCAAGTATTTAGTTAGATTCTGCCACCACCTAGAACATTGTTGCTAACTTTTGGAATAATTATATTCATCAACCATGAAGAGCTGAAAGATCAAAAACAGTTGCAGAGGAGCACCTGGGTGGCTCAGTCCGTTGAGCGTCCGACTTAGGCTCAGGTTATGATCTCGCGGTTTGTTGAGTTCAAGCCCCGCATCAGGCTCTGTAAAGACAGCTCAGAGCCTAGAGTCTGCTTTGGATTCTGTATCTCCCTCTCTCTGCCCCTTAACCGCTCACACTCTGTCTCGCTCTCAAAAATAAATAAACATTAAAAAAATTAAAAACAAACAAAAAAAAACAGTTGCAGAAACTAGGACTTGAAAGAATTCAGACTTTTACCATATTGAAGCTCAACACAGGGCTACTTAGAGTACACGCTAATGATAAAATGTCACTGCATGTACAGGAGGTAATCAAGAGCATTCGGATAGTGTTATTAATGGAAAGTTCTTGATTTGATTAATCAAAAGTTGTATCATTTTAAAACCCTTGAAGTGATGCAATATAGTACCTAGCACAGAGGAGTAAGTAAATATTCCATTGCTAGAAGGCTGTTTAGCAATGACACATCCTGAAGGGAAGACCTCAAACACAAGGAGGTGGAAGCAGACAGACAACACAAGCCTAAGGTCACTGTAGAGCAGTGAGGCAGTCCTGAGGGTGACACCTGTGTGGAGTGAGGACTAGGAAAAGGCAGTTCACTCCGTAACTACCAGCAGTCTCACTACTATATTTCTATTTGGGTCTTCACTCAGGCTGGGCATTTGTTAGACAAGAAAGTGAAAATGTAAAGACCAGGAAACAGAAACAACAGCAACAAACGAAGGTTGCTCTGATCAGAGTTTTCCATTCTGGAAATAAGAACACAACTTTTTTTTTTTCTTTTTGTCTTCAGCACAGTGTTATAGTAAGAGTATGGGCTTTGGAATCTGACAGCTTTCAGTATGAATTTCATCTCTTATCATTTACTAGCCATATGGCCTTGGGCAAGGCAGTCAACTTTTTTGAGCTTCTTCATCTGAAAACTGGCTAACCACTCAGGGTCACTGTGCTAGGGACACAGCAAGCATCAGGCACTGAATCTGGCAAAAATGTTTACTCTTACATATAATAGATATCATTATTCCTTTCCTATCTATTTTCTCCTTTCCAATTTCTTACTGATTAAAATACTCCTGATTCTATAATTCCATAATCACTTTTGATTGTAAATATTTGTAAGACTCAGATTATAAAAACAAGACCTTGGCCTCAAAGAATTCAGTCTAGAGAATTCTTGACACATTAACATCAAACGTTGTTATTCATTCAACACGTATTTTGTGAACATTAACTGTAAGCGAGGCACTGTGCTAACCTCAGAGAATAAAAAGGGCAAAGAGAAAATGTCCCAGCCCCCCTCCTAGCTCCTGCTCACTCTGTGCTCTCATTCCTTCCCACAGCTACATACACTATGTAAGATCTGTAGCTCCTTTTCCACTTTTTACCTAATTCCTACCTATTTCCTTCTTTCAAACTCTCGCATCTACCTTTTCACCAACAGAAAATTATTATCATTATTATCCTCAAAGAACTGCAGCAGTAATAAAAGCAAAATTACCCTGAAATAGGATCTGTCAAAATTATCTAGCACATACATTTCCCCCGCTACATTTGACATCTACCAAGTTGGGAGAAAAGAACAAAGGAAGGAGGATACTCATCCTTAATAATGGATTTAGAAGACGCTGTTGCCTTGTCCAGTACTGCCATCTTATCCTATCCAGTTTGTAAGGAGACAGGGCATAACCTTGACAGTGCTGTCTTCCACTTTGCTTCTGTCCATCTTATTTCCCACTGAGCCTTTGCCACTATGATTGATTAGGCTCCAATCTGCACAAATTGCCTTTGAAAACCCCCTCAACTACCCACAGGGTCATCATCTGCTTCATAATACGTAAGGTGATAAGTCAAAAGGAATAATAAAAAGAATAAAATAATACAACACACTAATAACAATTACAATTCTTAAACCCCTGTAATACCTGAGTTCTTCTACAAAGTATGCCTTTCATGTTCATTGGGATAATTATTTTCACCATAGGTTAAAAAAAAAAAAAAAGCAACCATTTAATTGTATGCAGAAATGGAAATAAAATCACCATCCATTTTGTGGATGAGAAAACATTCCAAGAGGTTAAGAGGTCACACAAAAGCAGAGTGAGAACCCAAGTCCTCTATCTTAAGTGTTGTAAAGTGATTTTTCTTCTCTTTACTGTATAATCATTTTCATCTCATCCTTTGAAATGTTGGCATAGAGGAGCCTTAATTTCTTAAAAATATACTTTATAATGATGATAGCTGAGACAGGCTGAGCTAGAAATATGAAATTTAACTAACCTGAAGGTAGGATTACATATTTTATGATTAAGGCATCTGCTCAGAGTTTGAAATTTTCCAAATGCCTAGAAGTTCGGGAGATCTACTGTTGATACACAGAACATGACTCAATTAGGAAAACTAATAATTTTCTTATCTGTAAAATGGGGCCAGTATCCCCTAGCAGAGGATCCCTGTGAAGATTAAACTGCAAGAGCACACAGGTGAGTGCTTCAGAGCACGCCCAGCATGCAATAAGCTCTACTATTCAGGTTAAATCACTTGCATGTCAGCAGACCTGCTACCCTGCTAGTGTATTTAAATATAAAATTTAAACCAGAGGATCCTGGTTTAATTTTTGGTTGTACTTTTTACCTATAAAAAGTTGCCAAGTATACTTCGCAAATCAGAATTTAAAATTCTTCCTCAAATCTTTTCTATGCTCTGTTTCAATTGTTTGGTTTCAATAAAAACTAAAGGGATAGGGTAAATGTTAGAAATATATGTTAACATGGAATGAGGAGATCAAGTCACAAAGTCAGAGCAAAGGCACAGTATGAGAGAAGAGCATTAAGTGAAATTAAGAATTGCTGGCAAGACATAAAAAATAAGAACTTGGCAAGAGAATCATTACTAAATGTGCTGTTGATCAAGAAAGACTTATGTAAGCCTTTTTTTTTTTTTAATTAGCCTTAAGCCAGAAATACTAAAAAAAAATAGAAGTACCCTAAGAAAAGTCTCTCGAAGGCTGTAGGTTACTCCCCTGGCCTGGATCTCAGTGCCCACTTCTGATAAGAGGGGGGCGGCAGGGTGTGGAGAAGGAGTTGAATGGATAATTCCAAACCCCTCCACGTTCTGGGAAGAAAAGATTGGATGGAACTGGGCAGGCAGCTCTCTGGGTTCAAGAAGAGTTCAGTGGGATTTGTCGCTGCTGACCAGACACGGTGCGTGCGGCTGGCTTCAGTGAGAATTGCACAACCTTTCCCGCTGGCAGTCCAAACTTTAGCCTTTCAACAGTTCAAATATTAACACATTCCCTGGTCACTGAGGTTAAGTCTCGTCTCGGAACTAAGTGAACATCAAACGATGTGTTTACGCAGTGTTCTTTAAGTTTTTTGCCTTTGAAAATGATTTCAGGTGGGGGCCACGGGGCACGGGAGGCCACAACACTACGCATTTCTCTCCAACAGTAAAACAGCAGCTCTGATGGCAGAGCCGACATAGGGCCGGGCTGGAGCTCCGCAGACGCAGGAACCACGAAGGACAAGCCGTTGCCCGCCGGGCTGAGCACAGGGGCCACGCAGCCGATGCGCGCGGCCGCGGGAATGCCCACATCCAGGCCCGGCGGCGGGGGCAGAGCCAAAGGCGCCCTGCTGGGTGCAGCGCAAACGCGGATCTCACTGGAGACCAGGGCCGGGAGGTCGCGGCCATCAAGTTAAAGTACCCGCGCGATTTACGCCTGAGGAACAAGCAGCCCGTAGAGGAAAACGTCCTCGGCCACGAGCTCCTTTTGCAAATTCTTCAGGAGGACAGAACGCGGGGTAGGAGCGCCACCTCAATCAACTCGGCCCCTTTTTGGACAAGCGGCGGGGAGATCCGCTGCCTGGACAACTAACGGGACTTTTTAAAACCACTTACCCGGTTCTAGAGAGGGGAAGCAAATTCTGCGAGGGCTCACTGAGATTCCACAAAAAAGGGGACGGACCTGGGCGTCTTCTACATTTGCTGGCTCCTCCTGGTCCGCCCGCCTCTCCCCGCCCCCAGACGAGGGCGCAACCAGCTCCCGAACTCGGAACGAAGAGGAAGTTTGGGCCTTTACGGCCACCACCCGCTACAATATGGCTTCCCCCAGGGAAAGGCGAGACCTAACGTCAAAGTATAGACTCTAAATCCTTCCTCACATGGATCGTAACGCAGAGTTCAAGAGATGGAAGGCACAGGGTCTGAGCAAAGCAGACCTCAGCCGAAAGGGCAGTGTGGATGAGGATGTGGTAGAACTTGTGCAGCTCCTGAATGGGCGAGAACAGTACTTCACCACGAGTTCCTGCGCTGGGCGCATCATCCTCCTAGATGGGGTGAGGCCGTTTTTTGTCCTTTCAGTGCCCACTCTGTGGTGTGCAACACCAGAGTCCTGTGCCCACCTGAACAACACCCCAGTCCGAACACTCCAGTCCAGCCTGTGTTTGTCCTTCTGATGGGTAGTCTCGGCTTCTTTATGAAACTTACAGGTTGAATTAAACCAGTGCTTCTAACACGTTAATGTGTCTATTAATCATTGGGAGCTTTTTAGAATACAGATTCTGATTCAGTAATTCTTGGGTTGGGCTGATATTATGCATTTCTAACAAGGCCCCAAGGGATGAGGAAACTGGTGGCCTGGGAATGATCTTGAGTTGCAAAGGTTAGAGAATTTGATTCTGAATATTAGGGGGAATTTAAAGATTTTTCCAGCTGGGCGAGGCTCCTTTTCTCTTCAATCGCCCTATCAAATCATTGTTAACTACTTTATAGAACGTCTCCTGGTTAAGGAGTTTACTGCCTCCTGGTGGCCAAATCCCTTATTACAGCTCTGGGAATTTTTACGTTAAGCCGAGTACAATAGAATATTTGGTATGGTGTAGTCTGAGATAGTGGTCAAGCCCACAGGCTTTGGAGTGATAACTGCTTAGATTTAAAACCAGTCATGGGACTTATTGGCTATGTGACTTTAGGAAGATTACCTAAACTCAGCCCCTCCCTCCCTGTTCCATGAACTGAGAATAATAGAGTATTTGCTTCATAGGGATTCTGTGTAAAAGAAATAGGATAATTTGAAATGTTTAGTTAGCATCATGTCTGTCCCGTGTTAAGTGCACCGTAAAAGTTAGCTCCCTGTTAATTTTAGCGTTAGGACTAAATTCAGAGCACGAAAGACAGCACATTCATAAGCTCATTCTTTAGATCCTCATTCACTGATAATTTGCTGATCTCCCAGGTTAGGAGGGCCTGTATATTTTTATATCGCCTCCATTGCCTCCTGAACAGTGGCACTCTAGCTGGGCTTACTCTCTTCCACCATTTCTACTACACTGTTTTACCTAAATTTCTGCAGTGTTTTTCTAACAGGTCACTGATCTACTACCTTAGACCCCAAACTACGTTACGTACTGTTAACAGATTTACTTTCCTAAAGACAACTCTGTGTATGTCACTCATCTATGCTAAAATCTTTTATTACACATTTTTCACCATCAGAAAATCCGAACCTCTATCCTAGTATACCTTTCAACCCTTCTGCTGCTCCCTTATTTTCTGCTACTTCTCTTCATGTTTATCTATTTACTAAAACTGAACTGTCCTTTCTCAGATTTACCAGCCTTTGCCTTTTTCATGTTTGTTTTTCCTGAAATGTTTTCCCCCATCTCTGTGTGTTTGAGATGTGACTCCAAAAACTCCCCTCTCCCATCTGAACACAAGCATACACACCCACTTGTAAGTAATGACTGCTTCTCCTGAACTGCCTTAGGACTTTTTCAGAACCTCTTTTCATTCTATGTAGATTATTTATTTTCACTTAGCCTTATTTCAGGAAGGAATTGCATTGAATTACAGAAAAGCAGTAGAGGAAGAAAAATAAAAAGTGGGGAAATGGAGGTGAAGGGAGTATAGATAAGATGAAACTAGAAATGGCATTAGTTACCAAACATGCCCCCATATTCTATAAATTTTCTAGAGGTGGGCCACACATTTAACTCTTAAGATTAACAGCAGCCAGCATAAGATCAGATACATGTCACTCAATGAAAGCAAACCAGTTATTCAGGACAAGCAGAGCTTTTCCGCTTTTCAAAGCCAGATAGCCAAGTCTCCTGTGTACCCATTGTAAAAATAGTTACTTTGTAGAAGTATAGTGATTTACAAGTACTTGTGGTTTACTGCATTCTCTTTCCAAGAGGGTAGGATCTGTTTATACCCAAAGAATCTAATGAAGTTTAAAAACAAACATTCCCCAGTTAATAAACAAACAAAAAAATCTGATGTTTAGGTATTTGCCTTCTTTAAACTTTGACCTTGCAGTCCTAGCTCTGCCCTTTGGGACTACATATAAAGTCTAATCCACATATTACAAATATAATGCCTCTAGAGGCTAGAGACATAAGGGTATGAACAGCTGAGGTGTCAGTAAAAAGTAGTAAGCCCTGTGTGGGATTGGTACAGTGCTTTCTTAACAAAAGGAGTTCAAGTTGTTTTTTTGTTATTTGTTTTTTTAATATTGTACAAGTCAAATAAAACAGCTAGACTAGAGTACAGCTCAGGGCTGCTAGTGTACAACCTCTTAGAATAATCCCTTTTCTCCTGACAAAATCATGACCATATTTCATAAAATATTAAGTTTTTATGATAAACAATTTATTTTCTTTCTATCTCAGCTAATTTGGTTTCATTTTTTGTTTTGGGTTAACTTTACCCAAAGCCTATTGAATTGTTCTCAGTAATACTTAAAATTACCACTTGGCATTATTCACCTAAGAAAGCTTAGAATTATGCTATGCATTGTATTTGTTATTTTTATAAATATGATAGAATTATGTTTATTATTTTTTTATTTTAGAATATAAATGGTTTTGAGGTTCAAAAGCAAAACTGTTGCTGGCTACTGGTCACACACAAACCTTGTGTAAAAGATGATGTGGTAAGTTTTTATATATAAATTTATACATAAACTTTTAAAATTTATTTATTTATTTACAGAGAGAACACACAAGCAGGGGAGAAGGGCAGAGGGAGAGAGAGAGAATCGCAGGCAGGCTCCACACTTAGCGTTGAGTCTGACCTGGGGCTTGAGCCCACGGCCCTGGGATCATGACCTGAGCCGAAGGGTCTGATGCTCAACCACCCGAGCTATCCAGGCGCCCCTAGAAATAAACTTTTAATTCACAGTCACATCAAATAAAGAACATAGAACACTAGAGGTAGATTTATGTACACAGTCATAATGACTGAAGATGAGAGAGCCCCAAGAGAATTCATTACAGTGGCTTTTTGATTTGTAGAGATAAAAGTATGTATGCATGTGTGTGTGTATATACACACACACACACACACGTATATATACACATATACATACATATGCATTACTTGTATATACATATATATACATATACATATATGTATGCATTACTCATATACATGTATATAATTATGTATGCATTCCTCTTGGACATAGAGAGTTTATGGATATTGGACACATAGATCAAAAATACAGGAATATCACTCTCTCTCTGCCCCTCCCCCGTTCATGCTCTGTCTCTCTCTGTCCCAAAAATAAATAAACGTTGAAAAAAAAATTTTTTTTAAATACAGGAATATCAGTTCTACCATTTGATGACTTTGTAACATGGAACAAATTATAGGAGAAAAGAGCTGAGTGAAAGGGATTAACACTATCTGTATATTACCAGCATACTGATATAAATAAATTATACATTACTGGAGTGCCTGAATGGCTCTGTTGATTGAGCATCTGACTTCAGCTCAGGTCATGATCGCGCAGTTCATGCATTTGAGCCCCATGTCATGCTCTGTGCTGACAGCTCAGAGCCTAGAACCTGCTTCAGATTCTGTGTCTCCCTTAATCAGTTTTTGGAGATGGAGGACCAAAAAAGCAGAGTAAAAAGTTATTGCAGAAAAAGGTTGCTGGATGAGTCTGAATGTTTCTGTGAAAAACTGAAGTTGCATATGATAAAGGGTCACCAGAGAACAGAATCATATTTTTGTGTCCTATTGCTAACATTTTTCATTTATTTAGATTGTAGCTCTGAAGAAAGCAAATGGTGATGCCATTTTGAAATTTGAACCACTTATTCTTCATGTGCAGTGTCGACAGTTACAGGATGCACAGATTCTGGTAAATTTTTATGATTATACTTGAATTAATAGGTATGTGGGTAGATTTAATTTTAAAATTTAAATCTACCAAAAAAAAAAAAATGCAATGTTAGTTTAATTAACTAGTTTTTAAATTTAATTATAGATTTGGGGTTATATATGTTTCTTCAGTTCATGTAGAGCTAAATAATCAGAGTTTATCTGATTCGCCAGATTATCAGAATTTAAATAATTTCTTTTCTTACAGCATTCAGTGGCAATAGATTCTGGTTTCAGGAACTCTGGCATAACTGTGGGAAAGAGAGGAAAGACTATGTTGGTAAGATAACTTTTGGCAAAAAGCAATTCTTTGGGCACAAAGTGACTCAGATTATAGAATAACCTCATTAGATTCTAGCCTTTAGTCACTCCTTACTCAAATCTTCTTGCCATGCCCTTGCCCAGAAAGCTTCAGCACCTTACTCTTTGCTACAGAGCAGAGTCCAGAGTTCTTAGATTTGCATCTGAGATCCTATACTATCTTCCTCTATTTATTTTCAACCAGATTCTCTGTGCCCTCCTCACCATAGTCAAGGCTCAATTTAATAAGTACTATGATATAGTGGAAAGACTCATAGGCAGAGGGTCTATAAAGAGGGTCTACATGGGTATTGGTGGCACCACAGCTGTTCTGTATTAGCTTAGGCAAGCTCCTTAATCCCTTAGGATCTGAATTTTCTTAGCCATATTATGGGTCCAGCAAACTACTGCCCTGGGACCAAGTCCAGTCCACAGGAGGTCAGATCCCATTACTCCCACTTGATAAGTTTTTGTCTCAAGTTGCTTTTGTGTTACAGTGGTAAAACTGAGTAGTAATGACAGATATTTTATGGCCACAAAGTCAGAAATATATACTATCTATTCTTTTATAGAAAAAGTTTACCAACCCTGGACTAGATGATCTTTAAAGACCTTTCTATGCCCCCAGCCTCTCTGAGTCCTTTTCCTGGCCAAGCCAACTCCTAGCGATTTTGCCCTGTTTCCTGTAGCATTTACTATTTGTAATGGCATGCATTCTTTGCTTTTGAACTATTTCAGGTTTTCCTCCATTCTAGCTCCCTAGACGTTCCTATTTTTCTATTTTAACAAATTACCCATTCTCCAAATAGAGATGGCATACAAAAGAAACATCTATAAAAAAAAGCATGACTAAATAGAAAGTCAGAGTCCACAGTACTGGTTTGTGTCCCACCCTGTCTCCTTCCCCTACACTGCATCTGGTAGCCCAAGCAAGAACAGAGTTGTTCTTTCACTTTCCTTTCCTTTGTCTTCCATATTCAATTAATTACAAGTCCTATCACATCCATGTCTAATTTCTTACACCCGACCCCACCTGTTCAAGCCCCTTGTTACTGCCCCTACATAAGTCCTCATGGTCCCACACCTCAGTCTCCTGACTGGTCTTCCTGCTATCCATCTTCTCCGTCAGTCACCCTGAGCCATTACTATCAGAATCCCCCTTTTTAAAAAGTCAGGGTCTCTATATATTTCCCCTGTTATTCAAGGCTTTACCCAAACTGTTTTCCATCGATCTTCTTTATGCTCATCTTCTGCTAGCATATTTCTGTTCCAGCCAGATAGAAAACTATCTGTTGTTTCCCAAATGTATCATGCTCTTTCATGTCTCCATGACTATAGATAAGTCGTTCTCTTGCTGGAATACCCCTTGCCTCCATTTTTATGTGTGGTGAAATTGCATTTATCCTTCAAAATCCCAACTCAAATGCTACCTTTCCCAGGAAGCCGAGGCCTCAGACTCAATTAGTTGCTCCTCTTCTATATTTCCTTAGCATCGTGAGTATGGGTATATGTACACGCATGGGCATATTGCACACATACGTGCATGTGTCTCTCCTGTCATAGCACATGAAACATCGTAGATGCTCTTTTGTAAAAGTCTATTGAGAGAATTTTTATTTCTCACAATAGTTTTTGCTGCTGTTCTTAACCTATTTCCATTGTTTGGATTTACTTGGCACACGCTGACTATTTCATCAACAGGTTTGCTAAGATTGGCAACCCTCAAGCCTGGAAAAAGCAGCCACTTTGTGAGATAGGACAGGCTTGGTTTTTTCTTATAACCACAGTCTGCTCAAGCAGCACTAAGAGGCTCTTCCGCATCCAATCCATTTTGATTTTCCCTTGAAGCTGCTGTTGAGATTTCATTAATTTCTTTTCTTTAAATAGGGCATTAAGTCTTACTAAGCTTTAGTGAGACTGAAACTGTTAAAGTGATTGGATTCTTGGATATTATCTGCTTTTCTGAAAAACAATGTGTAGAATGACTTTCTTCAGAAATAACTTTATGTGTTGGGAAAATCTATTTAATCTCCTTTCATTCAATTGTGTTTAGCTAAAGTATATTAAAGCATAAACTTAAATCCTGTAATGGAACCCAACTATCTTTAAACACTGCCCTGACTGGGACTTTTCTTTAGTTATCTTCAGTGTCTCTAGTACATAAATCATTGTATCTAAATTGTTTGTCCTTGTAGGCTATCCGGAGCACACATGGCTTAGAAGTTCCATTAAGCCATAAAGGAAAACTGATGGTGACTGAGGAATATATCGACTTCCTGTTAAAGGTAGCAAATCAAAAAATGGAGGAAAACAAGAAGAGAATTGAAAGGTATATTAATTGTATAGTTCCATGTTACTCTTTTTTTTTTTTTTTTTTTTTTAAATTTTTTTTTCAACGTTTATTTATTTTTGGGACAGAGAGAGACAGAGCATGAACGGGGGAGGGGCAGAGAGAGAGGGAGACACAGAATCGGAAACAGGCTCCAGGCTCTGAGCCATCAGCCCAGAGCCCGACGCGGGGCTCGAACCCACGGACCGCGAGATCGTGACCTGGCTGAAGTCGGACGCTTAACCGACTGCGCCACCCAGGCGCCCCAATTCCATGTTACTCTTATATATCTAGGTCATCTTTGAAAACATTGATACATACCATCTTCAGTTTATACTCCCAGCTACTTTTCTATTTGTAGCCTTATCACAGATAATAAAAAAAATGATCAAAGTAATAGATGAGAGTAGCCCAGACTGTAATGGATACTAAATAGAGCATAAAGGGGAGGCTCCATGGAGGGCAGTGGGACATGACTGCCAGCAACATGCATAAAGGTGAGAAGCATAATCACTCAGGTAAGAGAGCCCAACAGTGACAAGGACCATAACTGATCAACTTGAAGGCAGCCAGGGAAGAGGTACACACTGCCCCCTGGATGTGTTCTACTGGAGATTACCTACAATCTCCTTTTGAGGAAAGCAATCTGGTTAATTTTAGTCTGATAAATATTTTACATATTTGGCTGGTTCTTAGGGATTAAATCTAGAATTGCCATAATTGTTCCACTGGGAAGGATTATGGCTATCAATTCACATCATTATACTTTTCTTCTTCTTAAACTTTACCTCCTGGTAAGTAAAACTCTTACATTACTTTCTTCTCAACTTTTTCCTAAAAACTGAGTTTTTGACATAAAGCAGTGACTATGATGCTGCTTTTCTTATATGAAGGTAATGCCACTGAACTACCATCAGCAAGATGTATACTTCTGAGTTATTCAAGGAGTGATGGTCAACTTCTTGTCGTTTGGAATTTCCTTTTTCTCTTCTCCTTGGTTACCTCACAACCGGTCAATCCTTGCCCAAGTAATTCTTAAGTCATTCTTCTCTCCCCATCTGTACTGTCACTTTCCTTATTCAAGACCATTGCAATATAGCCTTGTTAGCTGGTCTCATAGTAGCATGCTTCTAATGTGTCTCTCTGCTAAGCCATTCTCTGTTATCACCCTCAGAATCCTGACTGCAGGGGCACTTGTGTGGCTTAGTCAATTAAGTGTCTGACTTCTGCTCAAGTCATGATGTCATGGTTCATGTGTTACAGCCCCACATCAGTTTCTGCACTGACACCTCAGAGCCTGCTTGGGATTCTCTCTTCCCCTCTCCCCTTATTCTCTCTCTCTCTCTCTCTCTCTCTCTCTCTCTCTCTCTCAAAATAAATAAATTTTTTAAAAAGTTAAAAGAATCCTGACTAAAATGCAAAGGAATCTTATTGTTCAACTTGCCTGTGTAACATTCTTTAATACCTACAGTTTCCTTCTCACCCCCTTTGGAGAAGCTAAGGCTACAGGTGCCAATGGTAGCAGTGTAGGACGGTGGAAAGAGAGAGAATTTGGACCCAGAGGCAGAGCTGAGTTTGATTCCAGGTTCTACCACAATTAACTCAACTCGCTTGGCTTAATTTTTCTTTTGTCTAACTTGGGAGAAATAGTTGTCTTAAAAAACAGTTTTAGTATGCATTAAATAGCATATGTAAAATGACCAGCCCTATCCATGTCATGTCATGGATTCTCAGGATAGAGTAGTGCTTTTCTTTCTTCACGGACACATATAGAAAATAAACCTACAATCACATCACTACCACCATCCAGGCTTTCTCAACCAGAGCTCCTCATTTGAACCATAGAATTCACAAAATTATTCAAGTGACTGTTTCTCATTTCTCTCAACAATGGTATACATCTTCCATCCTAGATACGTTGGAGAGAACTTAAGTCATTATGTACAGTGGATGTCTTAGGGCATTAGAGCTTAATTTTCTGGTGTAACCCTGGTTGAAAAAAGCAGAGGGGTTACCTGGCTTTGAGCAAACATTCTAAATGAAGTGATAATTTCAAGTAAGTACTGAAGAGCACCCAGCCACTTGAGCAGACTACAGAGTTTGAACTACATGCAGGTACTCATTGGTACCATTCCAAAAGTTTACTACTTTTCTTAGATCGTATTCCAGTGAGACTCTTTGCTAAAACATAGGAAGTAACAAATCAGTTTCTCTGTTTCCTTACTTGAATTTCAACAAGATTATAAATATAGCCCAAGAGCAACTAACTATACACCTGGTGAAGTTAATTGAGCCACGTTCACCAACTATAAAATCAAATTATACTTTAAATCCATTGACTCGGAAATATGTTTTGAGATTATAGTGTGCATGCTGCTATCAAGAGAGCCATGCTCATCATATGAAATCAGTGAAAAATTACAGAAGGGTAAAAAGTGTCTCAAGATACTGATTAGAAGATTACATGTGAATTCAGAAAGGGGGAACAAATTAGAGAGTTCCTGTGGGAACAGCTGTACATCCAACCAAAGGCAGAGAAAAGTCACCCTTCTGATGTTGAAAAGTGAAAAAATAATAAACACTGGAGGTGATAAGTCATGCAATCAGATAGAGTACTAAAATTGGTTTGTCGTAGGACCAAAGTTTCACAATTCAAATGACTATAGTAGAATTTTTATAAGTCAAATTCTAATGAGTAACATTTCAGCAATAAGAAATGATCTAGAAATGCGAAAATTAAAGTTAACAGGTAAAATGTTCTTAATATAAAAAAGGTCTTGTTTGTGTAAAACAGTTCCCTAGCCCACTTCTTAGTGGAAAGAGTAAGATACATTCATACATAATGGTTTCTAGGCAAAAAATACCAAGTTTGGAGATCTATTTACTACTAATTACAAGAGGAAGGCTATCTTTGGATCTATTAATAAGAGATCAAGACTGACTTGGGTCAGATGAAACCACATTTGGCTATGAGTACAATGAAGTTAGTCGTGTTCTTCTCTTCACCAACTGTGTAGTAAGAAAATGCTAAATATAGAGTAAAAGGGCTGAGTACATTGGCATATAATACTGTTGATAAGCAAATTGGAGAGAAAAAGTAAATGAATCTATATCCGATGGTTGGTTGTTTTTTTTTTTTTAACTTTTCTTTTTTATGGTAAAATATATGTACATAAAATTGACCATTTAAACTGTACATTTCGATGGCATTAAGTACATTCACATTGTTACTCAGCCACTACCATCAACACTATCCATCTTCAGAACCTTTTCATCATCCTAAACGGAAACTCTGTACCCATTAAGCAATAAATCCCCATTCCCTAGAATCCCAGCCCCTAGTAACCACTATTCTATTTTCTATTACTATGAATTTGACTCTTCTAGGTACCTCACATAAGTGGAATCATACAATATCTGTCTTTTTTTTTTTTTTTTTAACGTTTATTTATTTTTTTGGGACAGAGAGAGACAGAGCATGAACGGGGGAGGGGCAGAGAGAGAGGGAGACACAGAATCAGAAACAGGCTCCAGGCTCTGAGCCATCAGCCCAGAGCCTGACGCGGGGCTCGAACTCACGGACCGCGAGATCGTGACCTGGCTGAAGTCGGACGCTTAACCGACTGCGCCACCCAGGCGCCCCAATATCTGTCTTTTTATGTCTGGCTTATTTCACTTAGTATACTGTCTTCAGAGTGTATCCATGTTGTAGCAGGTATCACAATTTCATTTCTTTTTAAGGCTAAGTAATATTCCAATATATTTATATACCACATTTTATATATCCATTCATTCATCAGTGGATGTTTGGGATTTTTCTGCCTTTAAGCTATTGCAAATAATGCTGCTATCAACATATTTGTACAAATATCCAAGTCCCGACTTTCAGTTCTTTTGGGTATAGACCCAGAAGTAGAATTGTGGGATCATATGGTAGTTCCAGGTTTAATTTTTTGAAGAATTGCTGTGCCGTTTTCCACCGGAGCTGCACTGTCTTATATTCCCACCAGCAATGCACAAGGGTTCCTTTCCTTGCCAACACTTGTCTGTGTGTGTGTGTGTGTGTGTGTGTGTGTGTGTGTGTGTTTAATAATGTCCATCCTGATAGGTGTGAGGTGATGTCTGTGTGGTTTTGATTTGCATTACCCTGATGTTAGTGACATTGAGCATGTCTTCATATACCTATTGGCAAGAAATTCTCTTATATCACTTTGCTCCTTTCCTTCCTGTTTGTGGTGCTCCTTCTCAGCTTCCTTCTGGATTTCCTTATTAATCTACCTGGTGGTTAAGTATTACTATTCTCTAACACACTGCCCTTGGCCCATTGCTTCAGCTACTTCCCCATATAAATGGTAGGTCTTCCAAATTTCTCCCAAGTCCCGAGCCTATATATACAATAAGCTTTTGAACATATCTAACTAGAATACTCACTCTATCAGCCTTTCTTTATTATCTTTCTTATCCTAGTCTCAACCCCACAGCCACTGCCTTCGTTCACATTCGTTTACCAGCATTATTTACCATTTACCAGTTATTATTTACCAATATTATTTACCAGTATTTATTTACTATCATTTATCAGTATTATTACCACTCAGGGCAAAACAGAAATGTGAACTGTGTTGAATTACCATTATTTACTTGTACGTATGTCCTTTTTTTCCACTACAATGTGGTCACATTGGAAATAGGACTGACTTCTCCCTGTCACCAACCCCCCCCCCCCCACTCACACACACACGTGCACACTTTAAATACTCTTATCCTAAAACCTTACATAGTGTCCAGCTCATAGTGGAAAACCATACATGTGTATTGAATTAATAACAGACAATAAAAGAACTTAAAAGTTAACACATTAAGTGTTCCCCAAAGGCAAAGACCGTTTCTTATTTTCTGAATATCTGGCATGAGAATAGTGGTTAATAAATATTTGCTAAATTCATTAACTGACTTTTTCCATCAACAGTGCTACTTACAAGGCTTCAGAGCCTTAGATGATTATTCTGGAAGATGTGTAGGATGGCTTACAGATAGGGCGAGCAGGTGTAGGCTCTTGCTACAGAGTCCTGGTGAGAAGTTAATAGGACCCTAAATAGCAAGATGAATGGGAGCGATAGTGCAGAGTGTAAACTGAACATGGAGACAGACTAGAAATGGGGGTAGAGAGAAGGAAGAGGCAAGGATAACAGAGGTCTTAGACTCCCTACTGTTGCTAGTCTTATTTTTAAAATGGAATTAAAGCAAGTAAATAACTTGCACGTTTCCCTAGGTACTTCAGTCAAAAGAAGTAAATAATATAAAGTGAACACACACACTTTATTTTTGCATAGTTCCCCCTGGATATTCCCTCCCCTCCTTTTTTTCCTTTCCCATACCTAGTCCACTTCTGTCCATTCTTACTATTCAGCCCTGGCATTGGGTTTTTTTTCCAAGGAGCGTTCCATGATCTCACTCAAAGCAGAGTACTGCCAGTGTGCCCCAACTTTGTCCTGTCTTTTTTCATGGCATGCTGAATGTGTCTTACCAGTTCTGCAGTCCCTTAAACCCTGAGCTCCCTGAGGGCACAACTGGGCCTCTTACTTCTCTTCCCAGCACCTGGCACAGGCAATGTTCACATGCCTGTTTTTTAAATAAAAATGCTTGAGTTTAATCCAGTTAAAATCTAAATACATTTTTATGAAAATAGCCACCTTTGTTATTTGTGAATAATGGAAGCCTAAAAGGTATGAAATTGTGTCCAGCTTTCATTAATTTTATGTTCCTATTTAAGAAATCAGAGAAATATCAGCGCTTTATTGCAAGTGGTCCTCTAACTGACCTGAAAAACAAGAATTCATTTTCCCAGGGCTGGTCTGAAAAATTCTGTCATGAAGAGAACTAAGTACAAGTTGCCCTGTGGCATGACAGTCTTGACAGCAGAAGTAGAGAAACTGAAGACAATTTGATTTTCTTAGGGGGTAGGGAAGACTGTTGCCTGTGCATACATTTCCTTTTATATCCTGAGCTCTTTTTGTTGCCTGTGAGAGCTGAGAAAATTGCACTTTGAGAATCGGGCTGTAGAATGCCGTGTAAAGGGGCATCATACGAGGGCAGAGCATGTAATTGCAAAACAAATTTCTGACTTATCGAGAGAGAGAGTTTGCCAAAGAGCTTTTTAAAAATTGTCTTAAAAAAGGAAAAGGAAAAAGCATTTGAAATATTTATTCTTGGCTTTCAGCACAAAGGGCCTTTGTTCCATTTCACCAGTTGTTTTTTGGTACCCCACGGATGTGGCTTTGAATTCTGAGGTTCTTTAATGGAAGATTAAAGTAAGGCACCTGTTCCTCTTTAGTTACCTTTTTTTAATGTAATTGACAAGATATTTTACACAAGCTATTAATTCTCTGTGATCATAAAAGAGCAATTTAATCTTACCTTTAATTTTCTAGGAATGAAGTATAATCCACAAAAAACAAAAACAAAAACAAAAAAAAAAAACACTTGGTTACCTGAGTCTAAAGTTCAGAGTTGGGTGGGAAATGGTAGAAAATGAACTTCCACATCATGGATAGCCTCTTATGATCAAATAAGGGTGATTCACACCATTTTGTGGTATGAATTTTTGGATTTATGTTTTATATAAAATGAATCATTCTACAGGGTCATTTTATTAAGCTATTCTAAATAGACAGTGTGGAAGATGAGAAGAAAACAAGTCATTGAAGTTACCCAAGATGATGGTAAGACCTGGAGAGAAAGATCATGCCAAGTATAGAAGTTTTCATGAATGTAAGGGACTGAACAAAATACCGGTAGATTGGCGTGAGGGGCAGATGAAGGAGTTTCGTCTGGTGAAGTGTTGGTGAGCCAGCTGAATTCTGACCTCACCTCAACTCTGTGTTAGGTAGGATATGGAAAGAATAAACATCTCCACTTGAGAGGAATGCAGAGCAGATGGTGTCTTTGTGGGGGGACCAGATTTCAGTTAAGTAAGGATATAAGGGGTACATTAAATTAAAAGACTGTTACCATGGAACAGGACAGGGTCTAAAAAATTATACATCAGTTACTATTTTTCAAAGCCTTTTGCTGTACCTCCTACTATACTGTTTTTCCTTGTACTATACCTCCGTCTTTGAGACTGATTTATTAATTGAAGAAATATCTATTGAGTACCTATTACTTGCCAATCATGGTGTTGGGTATCAAGGTATACAGTGGTAAGTACATAGTACTTGAAATACGGACAGGATATGTAGCATTCATGTTAGGTATGTATTAGAATTATGTGGAATGTTTGGAAACAGGTGAATACATCTTGGGTTTTTTAGGGCAGTTTAGAGCCTTTGCAAGTAGAACTTAACCTGTTCGTTGAATTTAAGATAGAAGAAAATTGGTCCAAATAGCCATCCATTGTATAGGTCTCAAAATTCCCTGTCACAGTTTGCCGTTATAATAGAATGTAAAGCATGATGAGATCCCCACAATGGCAAGGGAATTCTGAGCTTCCAGATTACTCTAATTTGGGACCTACTATAACACATCCTTATTCACCTTTTTGTTCAGCATTTATTATTTGTTCACTTATTTGGCATATTTTTCCCAAGTGTGTCAGCATCACACTACATTTTAAGAATATTAACAGAAAACAAGATAGATGGGGTCGTTGATCTCATAGAGTTTATATTCTGTAAAAATAGTCATATTGAGAATTTACTTTGTGCCAGGCACTGTGCTAGGTACTTACATATATAACCTGTAACCTCCTGACAACTTAGCTTGGTACGAGATAAAACCCACTTTTATAAATGAGGAAATCGAAACTCAGTAAAGTTGGAATTAGCCTGGCTTAGCTTTCCCAGTGGAACACATCTGAAGCACATGCAACACACCATGCCACCTCTCTGCCTTTCCACATATGCGGAAGGCTACTGTGTGAGGCAGAGCATTGTATTAGGTGCTAACACGGAAGAAGAAAAGACATGAAGAAAAATTTTCAGGGAGCTGACAGTTTGTTGTACCACAAAGTTAACACTAATGTGGAAGTAGGAAAATGAGGAAAGGAAAAGAATAATTTATATTTAAAAAATTAAGATAGCTAATAGGCAGATGAAAAATAAACAAACAAAAAATAATGGGACATTGTTGTCACCTATCAAAGTAAAGTATGTTTTTTAATGGTAATATTCAATATTTGAGTGAAGTGGTCTGTCAAGTATTGCTATTAGAAGCATATTTGGCGGGGGGGGGGGGGGGGGGGGGGGGCAGTTGGTTAAGTGTCCAATGTCAGCTCAGGTCATAATCTTGCAGTCCTGTGAGTTCAAGCCTCGTGTCGGGCTCTGTGCTGGCAGCTCGGAGCCTGGAGCCTGCTTCAGATTCTGTGTCTCCCTCTCTCTCTCTGCCCCTCCCCAGCTCGCACTCTGTCTCTCTCTCTCAAAAATAAACATTAGAAAACATTTAAAAAGAAAAAAGAAGCATATTTTTTTGAACACCCATTCTGGAAAACAAGTAGTATTTATCAAGAGCTTTACCGTTTATACCCTTTAACCAGGTAATTACAGTTCTAGGGGTCTGCCTTAAATAAACAGCTAGAAACTCAGGTCACGTTATTTTTGAAAATGTTTGTCACACTGTTGTTTGTATTAGGGAAAGTTTGAAAATTAATTAAGGCCAATCTAGATGACATAATGTTATACTATCATTAAAAAGTGTTATTCTGTAGTTTATTTGATGATATAGAAAAATTTTTCAATAAATATATAACAGAAAATGTAAAATTTTATATATAAAAATTCTGTAAAATACAGTAGATATATGGGTGCATGCATAAGTACATTAATTCAGAATATATTAATAAACTGGAAAGAATTAAAATATTGACAAGTTATTTCTAGGTGGTTATATAGAGGTAATCTGTATTTGTAACCTCATATATTTGACAAATTTTCGAAAATGAGATTTTATTACATTTGTGATTTTTTATAAAGGAAAATAGTATCTGTTCTGTTTTTACCTTCTTTGTTTGACTCCTACACGTGGAATAGAATTTGAGGTAGAATACCAGTTGTCAAGAGGTGATTCCAACCAATTTTTAGGAGTGTTCTTAAAAAACTGAAAACACATTTCCTAATTAAATGATCATACCAAAAAGCAAGAAGCATATTATTTCCCTAACTCATTTTATATTTTAAGGTTAATACAAAACATAAAATTTATATAACTTATAAGTTCTAGATGTATTTCATTCATGCTATTTCAGAACATAGATATAACAATAGTATTTATTTCTTTATAGGTTTTACAACTGCCTACAACATGCTTTGGAAAAAGAAACTAACTCACATCCCAAAGAGAAAATCAAAGACAAAAATAATTCATCATATAGTCATAAGAAAAAAAGAAACCCAGAAGCATGTGGCAAATGTATTGAAGAAAATGATAAAGAACTTGAAAATGATGATGATCCAGGAATCAGTGTTACTATCTTCCCTGAAGATTACTAAGATTGGGTCTTGGTAGTGTAATGTTTCTAATAGATATTCCAAAGCTGCTCTTTATAAGAGTATTTTAGTTTCTTGAGCATATGAGCCACTCAGAAAAGCAAGATTTATTCTTTCTCTGTATTTTAGAGAAATCCCTAACTTTTAAAAATAGCTGTGTATAATATTTGCTTATTAAATACCATCTGTTTTAGTCACATAGAGATTTCCTTGCAAAAATAAAATTGACTGGGGCACCTGGTTGGCTCAGGCAGAGAAGCATAGGATTCTCCATTGTGGGGTCATGGGTCTGAGCCCCACGTTGGGCATAGAGATTATTTAAAAATAAAATCTTTTAAAAAACAAAGCAAAATTGACTTTTTAAATGACTTTTTTTTTTAAGTTTCAATTTCTACTTCTGCAAAACACAACTATAATACTCTTTCAGTTGAAGAACCTTAACATTAGGAATACTTGAGTAAAAGTCATCTCCACATTTTACTTCTTTTTAACTTTGAAATCTCCAGCTTTTAAAGGGGGATAAGTCTGCTTCTTGTTGCCATGGAGTCCAGTAACAAGTTCTTCCCTTTCTTTTGACCTTGTGGAGAAAAGAACTGATAGCCTTTTTGTTCAGGACAAAATACCTGAACCCTGTTTCTCATTATTTCTCACAACCCAGAGCTTGCCACTGACACACGGTCTCTGTGACACAGGTGGGACCTAGTTTTCCACTAAACCTGGTCAGAAATGATAACTTAAAACATAGGAATCTTTGTAGAATCTTTATATACTATTTTGGAGAATTTCAAGGAATCGGAAACCTTGGGTTTGAGTTTTGACTGCTGCAAGGAGGTCCTTGAGCAAATCACTGAATTCCCAAGGCCTTCTCTTTCCTCTTCTGCATAATAGCAGTTCTGACACCTGCTGTATTTACACCACAGGAGTGCTGACAGAATCATGTTAAATAAAAATGAGAAAGTTATTAATAGACTTCTGCATATATGTTACCATTTACTTTCCATTTATTTTCATTATAAAATTAAGATCCTTCATACCATATTTTCAGAGAATATCAAATTGTAAATTTTATATTTAAAGAGAAATTACTAGTTAGTCATAGGACTAAGGATAAAATTAACCAGAATATCAAGAAAAAAAATTATACAACGTAGTAAACATTGTGATTTTGCCATTTCTTAGTATTTTTATAATTTAAGTTTTCATGTAAATATGTTTAGGTTTGCATCTCACATGCTTACCTTCTGAGATCTGATTTTGTTCTTGTATTTTTAAAATAGGTAGACTTCATAAACATCTATTATCCTCTAAGTAAATGCATCATGGATAATGGCCAAGGAGCTTTAAAGTTATTGAGAGATTTTTTTCTTTGACCTTCATAATAAGATACCATTATTTACTTTTCCTAATTTCTTTTAGCATCCCTACAACATTTAGGAAGACTTCCAACACAATCTTCTCTTTCATTGTTCCAGAAAGAAGCTCCTTGGAGTCCTCAATCTCCTTGCCATCCTGCAGCATTTGGTGCTGTTAATTATTCTTTAAAAAAAATTTTTTTTTCTACATTTATTTATTTTTGAGGGAATGAGACAAAGCACTAGCAGGGGAGGTGCAGAGAGATGAAGGAGACAAAGAATCTGAAACAGGCTCCAGGCTCTGAGCAAGAGTTCAGCACAGAGCCCGATGCGGGGCTCGAACCCACGAGCCATGAGATCATCACCTGAGCCAAAGCTGGACACTCAACCGACCGAGCCACCCAGGTGCCCCAATGCTGCTGTTAATCATTCTTGCATCCATGGGCATCCCGAACACTTTCTTCTTAATCGTTTTCCTGATTAGGGTGAATCCTTCTCAGTTCTTTTTTTCTAAAACCCATCAACAGTTTTCAATATTCACTGCACCTTAGAATCATCTTCAGAACTTTGGAAAACTACAGAAAGGATCTGAGACTCTCCAGGGAGGGACAGTAAGCATGTGTACTTTTTTTTAAGCTACCAAATTGTTCTCTAATTGTAAACCAAAGGGCAATAATGTGTAGGCATTCCTTATTTCTGCCTTTGCCTTTCTTCCATTTCTCTCTTCACCCCAGCCATCTCATACATTCCAGCAGCTCTGACCTCAGACAATGACTCCTAACTCCTGCCCTCATCTGTCTGCTAAGCCCCAGCTAACTGCTGGGCTTCTCCCGTATAGCTGTTACTTTATAAGTTTTCTCTCCTTACAAGGTTTCCTGGTTCTTTGGCTAGAGAGAGCAGGCTTTTACTGGGATTTTATTTATTTTTTTCTGAGCCCATTGGCATTTCTGGGCTCTGGCTTTTCCAGTTCCCAGTCTGGGATATGTGGGGTAACAAGAAAACCCAGAGCACTTACCACTGTGTTGTTCTTTAGGTCCCGAGATCCCTAGCTGGTCCACCTTCCCCTCTTCACCTTTCAGTCTTCTTATGTTTGTTTTCTACACATGTCCAGAGTTTTTAGTTGCACTTAGCAGGAAGAAAATATATCTACTCCATCTTCCAGAATCAAAGTCTAATATATATATTTTTTAATTATTGGTAATGTCACATTGTTGGGGGATTGTTGACACCTTTGGAATCTAATAGCCACAGTTTCCTTTATTTAGTGTTGTGCCCCATCTCCCAGCTTGTATGCTTTGCTGCTCTTGCTTTAGGCTTCTGGAGCCTATCCACTCTAAAATAAAGAAAAAGGCTGGAGTCTGTTTCCAATCCACCTCCCACCCTGCTGCCACATATACACCCACTGTGTCATAGCCAATAATGACAAGTGCAGAGCTTCCAAAGGTAACTCTGTTGCCCAGAAATGGGATAAACTTGGACATGCATAAGCTCCCAGCAGCATCGGGCTGAGGCTGGGACTTCACCTGAATCCTATCATGTTTTTTCCATTTCCTTACCCGTTTCTCCTGGGAGAGCCTGCCTAATAAATCACTTGCACTAGCATGGTGTCTTCTGCGAGAACCTAACCTAAAACAGGTACTGTGATTACTTTGGATCTATTTTTTAAAGGGATAGCATACATTTATTATAAAGAGTTGATATTTTACTATGTTAGAAATTATATCATTGGTAGTGATTAAAATTTACCACGTAAACATAATGCAAATAAACTTATGATGTTAAGTGTGTAATTTTATTTTTTTTAATGTTTACTTATTTTTGACACACAGAGAGAGAGACAGAGCATGAGTGGGGGAGAGGCAGAGAGAGAGGGAGACACAGAATCCGAAGCAGGTTCCAGGCTCCATGCTGCCAGCACAGAGCCCGACGCGGGGCTCGAACTCACAGACCATGAGATCATGACCTGAGCCGAAGTCGGACACTCAACCTACTGAGCCACCCAGGCGCCCTAAGTGTGTAATTTTAAACATATTTTGGGGAAGTATCTGACCAACAGTTTTTGAGAATCACTTTTTTTTTTTTTTTAAAGTAGGCTTCATACCAGCACAGATACCAATGCGAGGCTTGAACTCACGACCCTGAGATCAAGACCTGGATGCCTAACCAACTGAGCCACCCAGGTACTCAGTGTAATACATACTATTGTAAGAATTTAGAGGCAGGAATAATTGATTCTACGTGTGGGAGTACTAGAAATACAATTCAAGAGGGTATCATTTCATTTATGTCTTAGAGGTCAAGAAACAAGTTCACTTAACTGAAAAAAAAGTCCAAGAAAAACTCTTGCCAGACAGAAAGAATGCGTAATGTAATTAAGGCACTGAAGAGCATGATATATTCAGTGATGGTGAATATTCCGGAAAAGCTGAAATGCGATATACGGTATGAAGTCAAGTTGGTTAAAGCCCAGTTGCAAAGGGCTTTAGAATCCATCAGGGACATAGACCAGTGTTGCCTAAACATAACTATGCATCAGAAACTCCCAGGCTAGCAGTGTCTGGGGGAGTGCTTTTCAGAACATGGACTCCCAGACTTCACTTGTCTTTCAAGCCAGAATCATCAGTCTGGAGTCTAAGAATCCATTTTTTATAGAGATTTTGTTTTTATGTTTATGTATTTACTTTTGAGAGAGACAGTGTGAGTGGGAGAGGGGCAGAGAGAGAGGGAAAGACACAGAACTCAAAGCAGGCTCCAGGCTCCGAGCTGTCAGCACAAAGTCCAATGCAGGGCTCAAGCTCACAAACTGTGAGATCATGACCTGAGCCGAAATCAGACGCTTAACTGAGCCACCCAGGTGCCCCTAGGAATCCATTTTTTGAACTCATGCAAGGGATCATGATAAAATCAGCCCACCACTTTTAGAATTCACTGATAACAGACTTTATCCTGAAGGCACTGGAGAGAAATTAAAGACTTTTTAATGAAAGAAAGTAGCATGATCAGATGTTGCCATGTACCTATGCCACAGATTTTGTGTATACACATTGTAGGAAGGTAAGCAGAGGTTCTGATAGATTAATTAATGAAGTCACTGTCCTTATCCTTGTGTCTAAAGCAGCTGCTAGGAGGATGACAATATGTATAGCTGTGTCATTTGAACTCTGTTCAACTCCAGGCACTCCTTAAAGGTATACAGAGCACATTCTTCCATACTAACATATACAGCAGTCTTGCCAAAAAGAAATTGGGGCAGGAAAGAAATCTTATAGTCTCAGAATGTCTGCAACATTTCTTCTAATTTAATGAATAAAATGTGGAAATGCCTGGCAGCAGGTGGATGAAAAGAGAAGAGAAACAATTTAAAAATAAGCCCTAAATACATATAGAAGTGTGGGGGGGGGGGGCGCCGGGGGGAGGAACCGGAGGGAGGGGTGTCCTGTGATAGAATAACTATGAGTTCTGTTGTGTAAAAATATCTCTAAAGATCTCATAATCCATTGGCTTTCATAATCCCTCAACACATTTAAACTGAGCCCATAGGGATTTATGGATCCAAAAATTTTATAAAGTGAGTATATGCATAAGAATCAGGAAGAGAGGGGCTGCCTCCTAATCCCTTTATCTAAGGTAACAGAATTATCCTGTTCCTCTTAGATTAGCAGAGAAGAGAATACAGATGCTGGCCATAAGCCCAAAAAGACATTGAACCCCACTTGCTTCTCAGCATAGTACATTATTTTATATTCAATTCACATGCCTGATCAAGAATATTAATAACTATAGCGAGGCAATTAGTAATAATTTAATATGCAAGATAACCTACTGAGAATTACCTTGTGGTTTCTTTTCATTGTTGTTCCAACTAAAATGTAGGGGATCTTTTCCCTTCCCCCAGGATGAGGCAGTCATTTATTCCTAAAGCCTGGATTCCTCATTTCTCCACATCATCTACAAACTAAATGCTTTTTTGCTCTAACACAGAAAAAAAAAATCTGTTAGC